TTAGTAAACTGAAGTTAATATAATAGTTACTACTAAGTTTTCTTAGTAAAACTGAGACTGTAGAGTTATTTTACTAATTTTAATAGTAAAAATTCATCTGTTACTAAACTTACTTTGTAAAAGCTATCTTCAAAATTTTTTAGTGTAATTACTAATAATTTTCTTAATTAAAACTTTAGAATAACTTTATTTAATATATCATTGTAAAAATTAAAAAAATTTTTATATTTGATTTGATTTGATTTGATTGACAAATATTTGATTCAATTTGATTTGATGTAATCAAATTCAAATCAATTTAAATTGATTTGATCAAATATTTGAGTTTAATTCGATTCAATTCAATTCAATTTGAAAAAATCAAATCAAATTCAAATTGCTTAAATATTTGATTTGATTTGATTTTGAGGAACCCTAGCTATTATTATGTCAAATCTATTATATTTAATTTAAATCTAAAAATACTATTATTAAGATTTAATAATTCATTATTGTGCCTTCTTTATTATTATTATTATTTTAATAATTTGTAGTTTTTTGCTTTTATTATATAATTTTGTTTTTTGGACCTATCATATATTTAGAGATTTCTATAAATATAAACTTTTTTAATGTGATCAATTTCAGATTTGCTATGAATAAATCCAAAAGTTGAAAAATTTCTTTCCATAGTTACAAATAATGTAGAAATTAATAAATTCTGATAGCTAATTGTTAAAGTTTACTATTTTTTCATGATTTCATCCAAATAGAAAGACTAAGAGTGAATGATAACATCTAAATTATTTTATTATCATATTAGAGGTTTGCTAGGAAAATAGGGCTCTGAGCATTTTTTATTAAAATTTTAATATATGTTGAATTTTAATCTAATATTATCAAAATTAAAATGCAATAAAAATTAAAATTTTAATAAAAATTTCTCAGAGTCCCATTTTTCTTGCAAACCTTCCATATGATAAAGCTTTTTGATGAAATTTTACAAGCTTAATAAACAATTCTACAGATTTTTTCTGATTAGATCAACTATTGGTAAATGTTATAAATATAGAATACCAGTTATCTAAAATCTATATTTTGACTTTTTTTAAGAAATATAGATATAAAATATAAGCAATCATCATAATAAGATAATATATATATTCCTATCTTTTTTAAATAAATTGTGAAATATTGTTAGAAAAATTCCATGAAAATTTACTAAAAACAGTTAATTTCCTTTATAATCACATTCCTCAGAATTTTGAAATAGTGTGACTATATAAAGATGTATTTATACTAAGAGATTTATTATTATAATCACTTATATGTAAAAAATATTGTTAGTATGATTATATGTAAAATTTTGTATTAATTAATTTATAATAAATTATGTAAGATTTTAAAAATTTGTTAAAAATTTTGAAGAAAATAAGTATAAATTTAGTTATCTATTAGTATAAAGGTTCCAACCAGTATAATACTCCAACTATAAGGCACTACCCAAAAAAATGAGAGGCGCAGCAAACCTGGACATTACTTTTGCCAATGTTACTAACTCATAATCAACTACAAACAACAATCAACAATCTACTCCACCAAGAAATAATAATAATAACAACAATCCTAATAACAATAATAACAATCGAAACAAACCACCTCCACCTTCTGAAAACAAATGAAACTCATAATCTGGTTCATGATGTGATGATGTCCCACCGAACATGAACGAAGAAATCCTCTTTGATAATACTATTTGTCCCACGCCTAATGCCATAGTATATAAAGGTACAAAAGCAGGTGAATCAATGCACGCTAACAATGATGATGACTTTAAGGCATTTATCAAATCACAGTTTGCAAATTTAGAGGAGAATCTACTTACTATCATGAATAATTTAGCCTTTACAATCAAACGCATTGAATCCATTGAACAATAACTCAACGTTAAAGTCATTACCCCAGCTGAGGCTGAGGTATATAATTCAAACGTTGATGAAATGATTGATGATATTGAACCACATATCGACGTATTTGTTTCCACCATAGCTAAACAGCAAAAAATCATTAACGAATTGCGCAGCCTGAATGAGATGCATTAATCAAGACTCAGGTTGTTTATAACAACTATTAATATGTTAGCTCAATCCTGTAGTATCTTTTAAAACATCTTAATTAAAAATAATTTGCTTCTCCAGAATCAAGCGAACAACATTTTCCCAATTAATGTAGCTTTTGATGATGATGTCAAGAGTTACCTTAATGATGTCCAAAAATTTTAATTTTATCATAATTACTGTCTCTACTGATAATAATGCACAAGATGCATCAAATCATAACACAACTCCTTTAAATCATACTCCTCCTCCTTTTTTAACTTTTGCTTCACATAATGTACGCAGCTTCACTAATACCGCCAAATAACACTCCCTTATTGAACAATATCTTTCCTTAAATGTAGATGCCATTGGCCTATAAGAAACTAACTTTCTTCAACAACACATTCGACTGTTTAATTTTGAACACTCATCTAATTTGGTTGGTTTTTTCAGTTCTGAATCATCTCCTAACAAAACTGGCTTTAGCGTAGGCATTTTATTATGACCATTATTGGCCAATCATGTTTTTCACCATAAACAAATATTCAACCAAATTATTTTTGTTGACATCCAATTTACCAACAAACAAAAACTATGTTTCATCAATTGCTACTTACCTCCATCCAATATTTCAACAAGAAAAATGGTTCAAAAAGAATTAGTAAAATTGATCAATAATGCTAATTCTAAGGATTTTCACATTATTTTAACTGGAAATTTCAATGCTGACGTAGACTGAGATAAGAATCCAAAGGGTGCAAAAGAATTTTTTTCGTTGCTTCCAAATATGCATCTATTTGATGCATATACATTGAAACACAATAATAATCAGGTCAAATATCCAACTTTCAAATCAACGATCTCAACTTCTCACATCGACTTTGTTTGGACTTCTGCAGATTGTACCTATAACTTTAACACTTGTAAAACTGTATCTGTGTTACCACAAATTTCCAATCATGCAATTATAAATTGTTCCATAGTTAACTATCTCGAAGTCAAGAACAACAAATGAAATATTCTGAAAAGTCGATATACGATTATGATAAGATGACTGATGAACTCTGAAAGGAATACAAAGACAAAATGGATATCCTTACCAATAGTCATGAACTACGCCTCTTAAAATTTAACACGAAACTTAATCAGACTAAACTTAATTTTTACTAAGATTTATTGCAAGCCTGTATCATTAAAGCTGCTGATAATGTTATCTTATCACATAAATCATCTGGACAACATTGATTGAAGAAACTTCTATTGTTGACCAAACTTTATAAAAATCTCAGACTCATATATAAGGTTAATAAGAAAATCAAAACAACTTGTAGTCTGACAAGTTACTTGAGGATTGGTCCATACTTTACAACAAATTCCATGAGATCTCTAACGTTTTCAGATATCATTTGATAGCGTTATCATCTATGCTGAACATAGCACTTCTTACATCATTATTTCTATGTGTTAAAATATTACTTAATTGTCTTTTAATTAAGACCAAACTCTATGAGCAAGCATTTAAATTGGAATTAATACAATAAGCAATTGAGAGTAGGTTGGATAACTATATGGCCACTCCTTCGTGGATGATCGATTCGATACTTAATCAATCAAGAAGACAATTATGTTAGATAGATGTCTTGATAATACACCTGGATCATGTGATCTTCTGATTGATAAAACACTTGTCAAAAACAGAGTCCATCAACATTTCCAATTAACTGCTGGCAAAATATGGATATCCTAAACGAGTGAAATTCATTTTATAAACTAATAGATAATATTAACAGCTCTGTATATGATAGACTTATGACCCTACCTATAGCTGAAGAATAGTATGATGTCTTTGCTACATTGCTAAATGGTAAAGCTCCTGGTCCTTCCAAAGTATCGAATGAAATGTTAAACATCTTAGTCTACACGCAAATAAACTACTTTAGTATATTATTCAATATTGTCTATCAGAGTCGACTCTTCTATATTGATGGAATATTGCATTCATCTACCCAATACCAAAACCTAAACCATGAGAGTATGACCTTAATAATATTTGACCCATCACACTTTTAGAATGTCCTCAGAAAGCTCGTATAAAATTACTCAATCGGCATCTATCAATAATTATCATTCAGCATAATATGCTCAAAAGGCTCAACTTCACTGGGCTTTCTTATAAATTGACTTTTGAACCACTCTGTATAGTAGACAATATTAAATTTGACTCTATCACAAACAACAAGGACTTATGGGTGCTATCACAGGATATATCTAAAGCCTACAATCAAGTAAACTTGTTTATGTTCATAAGAATACTCAAACGATTTCACATCCCCTTTAATTTTATAAGATTTATTCTCAAAATGTTCGGTAACTGTTTCAATCAGGTCTTTACGTTCTTTGGAAACATTGATTCTTACAGAGTCATTTCCAGTATCGATCAAGGAAAAATAATATCTCTACTCCTATGGTGTATCTATTACGATCCATTATTATGTAGAATACACAATTCTTCACTAGATTACAACTAGGGTTAGTAAAAGTTCTAATAAGTCCTAATTGGTCTTAAAGAATTTAAAGATAATTTTAATTTATATACTATTAATTAAATTTTTTAATAATAAATTAATCTTTTTAATAATTATTATATATCAATTATTTTATTAATTTAAAATAAAAAAATTCTTTAAAAATAATAAATATACTTAATTTAGGACCTAGATTCTAGGTCTAAAATTTTAAAGATATTTTAAATTTTTAAAAAAAATTTAAACTTATTTTAATAAGTAACTTTAATTAACAAATTGAAAATAATGATAATATTTAAAAAAATTTAATCTTTATAACTAATAATTTTTTTAAAATTAATCAATACCAATTAGGACCAATTAGAATTTTTACTAACCCTAGTTACAATATAATTCATTAATGGAAACCGGATGTTTCCACCAGTATGATGTCAATAACTTCTGTCAAAATCTCCATATAGATGACACTTTGAGGATAGCAAAGTCTTGAGAAGACTTCATAGAAATTATGAAAATTGCCAAAAGTTTCTACGAATTAAACTTCATCAAAGTCAATTGAAACAATCTTAACAAATAAAGAAAGTTTGTGTCAACCTATTACTCTGTCGTCTATTAATAGCTAAACAACCATCCATCTACTTCTTACCAATGAGTTTATTAGATATTTAGGGGTTTGAATATCACTAGGATCGAATAAAACATTTATCAGCAAATCACTTACGACTGAGATTAAGTCAGTATTGCCATTATGTCTTCCAAAAGAATTACGGATAAACAATTAATTTACATTTACAATTCAGTTCTTATTTCACGAATTGAATATCATTCCCAATTGACTTACTTCACCAAGCAACAGTGTAAGCAAATTACCTCGCTATTTCTTGCTTTTATGAAGAAAAACTCAAATTATCACGTGATACATCTTTGTCGATTTTTTATTTGCATTTATTTTATAATCTGACAGACCTCTATCAACATTTGTTGACAGCACATAGCAAAGCTCTCCTCTATATGATGAATGATACTAGCCTTATAGGTGATACAATCAAAATTCAAATTCAACAATTGCAACATAATGAGTGACTGCATAAATCACCACTTATCGAATGGCCTTATGATAATACTACCAAGTTCAAAGACTGGCTCTCGTACCTACTTTGTGATTGGAAACAATTGAGACTTAATTTTAATCCAGAAGACATATAACCTAATCTTATTATTGGTGGGATTACGCAATATCATCATTTATTCCAACCAAATATAGAGTCATCGCCAACGACTTAAAATGATATTCATTACTTTTTATGGAATAATTAGTAAACTTTGATGGCAATCAAATGTTCACATTTTTTGATCACTGTTTCAAATCTGACATTTCACATTCACCAAAATCTCCTAAATGGTAAGATACGCTACAAACTGCGCTTCTTAAGAATAACTCTTCTTGCAACACTGTTATTCGTTTTCAACATATTGTATCATTGAATTATGACTTTCCACCACCTACCAAAAATAAAAACAAAAATGTTTTTATGTTGGGTTAGCACATGGGGAACAACAAACCTTTCATAGAACAGCTCTTGAAAGTCGACGCTGATCAAGTTCACGTGATGCACTTTGTACTAACGGCTGGACGCAATTACAAAACTCTTCTTAATGAATGCTCTAGATATTATTATTATAACTCTCTGGCTTTCGTCTCTAAAGGATTTTCGGTAAAATGGAAAAAGACATGCTGTTTCTTTTCAGTTCATTCGGACTTGTGTTTTCAAATCCCTATATATCAAAACAAATCAGAAACTGTTCCTTATTGTATTTGGTCCCTAGTTTTGCTTAATGATCTTGCCTTTTCCAAATTTGTAATTTATAATAGACCACAATCTAATAACATTAATATTTCTTTTACACCTCACAACCTTCTGTTATTTATAGAAACATTTATTTCTCAATCTCATGTATCACAATTATTAGTACTTCAAAATCATAGGAAAATATTTATATGATTGGTTAGATAGGCTACACAAATTTTACATTATAATACTATAATTTTTATATATAATCACATGACATCGTCGTTTCTAAAACTTAAAAAACTTTACCAATACTTTTTGAATTTGCAAATAATTAACAGTAAAAAATTTCTTTATTACTTCTGTCTCTTTAAAAGTAGATAAACAAGTAAGTTTTGATTTAAATTTCCTATTATATTTATTATATCAGTTCATTTTACAAGTATATAAAATATATAACACATTTTCTATTTAAAAAAAAATAAAATAAATTTAATATTTTTTCTTAAATATATAATATTATCAAAATCATCAAAACTCAAAATAAACTTTCTTATAAATATGTATTGTCAGCTTAATCTTTAAATTATCTTTTTTTACTTTTTCTAGTTAGTTAAATATTTTTGACATATAGCTATATAATAATTACATATAGTCTAATAATAATAGTAGACAAAGTATTTTTGTCTTCTAAGTAAAGTACTTTGAAGTTTGGGATTATTTTTGAATTATTTTGCACAGTGAATGTTAACGTTCTTTCTAAGCTAGAAAAAAAAATCTTTTACTTTTTATAAGTGAAATGTTACATTTTCGTAAAGTACTTTAAACTGTATAAATAATGTATTCAGTAATTGATTAGGATTGACCAATCACGTGAAAGTTCTCCTATAAACTTCGAAATCAATTTTCTTTATCGAATTATTTAGAATTTTTTACTGACAGCTCTCTAGTCAATTTAAGTACTCCTTTTTTGAGAATGGGACTGGCTTGGATTCAAACTGCACCTGTTTCTTCTTTGCTTTCTTTTGTGATAGCACTTACAGCTTCATTTTTATCTTCATCATTAGCTAAACTGGTAGCCATCTTTACAGCCATCTTAGTTGCTCCCAAAAAATGTCATGTCAAAATACATACGGATTTTGCCACCGTTATTTCACAATTTAAAAAATATGAGCTGCTTTTAGCAATCTCCCCTTCACAACAACCTTTTCTTAAAATCAATAATTTATACATTTGGCGTTGTGTATTCAAAGTTATCAAGTTATTCTCATTGAAGATAGCGATGCAAAAAGTAAAAGCCTACTCTGGATTGACATTCAATGAACAAGTAGATGCAATGGCAAAAGATGCACTTTATTCACATGCTCTACACCTACAACCGTCTGATCGATCTCATCATTCATTTCAACTTCACCAACTTGTAATCGCCACCTTATCAGACCACTTATTAAAGATATCATTCGCTCACAACATCTCGTTTCTTTTTTGAATCTGATGTTAATCACAAATATATCAACCTCAATATTAACTGGGTTGAAACAATATTCTATATTTCAGATAATTCCGCTCCTTCGTCAACTACATTAAGATGTCTTTGATCAAAATGAAAAAACTTAACATATTCTTGAAATGCTTCCTACAATAGTAGTTCTTAACAAATGACACCCCTACTCTATAATGACTCTTGGCTCTGTTTCAGTTGTAACTCAAAACATGAAGATTTCAATCACATTTGAACCTGTTCATCCAGAGTTTTATAGATTTTTCAACTCATCAACGAGGCGAAACTACACTTAAGCGATGCTCTTTAACTCAATACTACATTGCCTTTGGAGACATTAGATATTTGGTCTTTATCAGCAGCAACTACCTTCATTTTTGTGGATTTGATCAAAGGAATTATTCTCTCAGAATTATACAACTTTATATATTCACATCTTAATTCAAAGGAATCCACATTGGCGGCAATCTTGAACTTTATGCATTGTATATTCACTCAAACACAATCTCTTTGGATGGATAGATGCTCTGCTTTCAAAGATTTTGAAAAATCATATAATATAACAGATATGCTTAAACGTGCTCATACAGAGGCGTCTAGCTACCAATTTCGCTCATTATATGCTAACTTTTCTTCTACTAACTTAATTTCTAAGATGATCCATTTAGGAGCACACTGGTCCAATTTTTTGTGCAGTAGGGACCAAGCCCTTTTCTTTTTCTGGTCAGTTTACTGGAAGGTGATGATGTAAAATTATTTTTATATTTGATTCTGGGAAAGTGAGGGTCAGTTTTGATTTAAAATAGTTTTTTTTGATTATTTTAGATAGAGATTTTCGTAACTTCTGTTTTATATAATTTTTTATATTTTATAATATCAATAAAGGTTTTGTGAAACTACCGCACTTTAAAAATAAAAAAAATTGATAAAGCAATACTAAAAAACTCTCTCCTGTTTATCCCAAAATGACCAGAAAAAACAGCGAGCAAAAAAACAAATAACAAGGACATTCGTCTTCACTATTAACAACGCAAAAAGTCAAATAACAAAATACAACGCAAACTGTGGATATTCCACTAACCCAACAAACTTCTGAGTCTTCTGAACCAGTTGTAATCATGAAAGTTGACCCTTCGCGTATAAAAAAGGTAACGAAAAAGAAACTCCAGAAGTGACTCCAGCTAAAACAACCACCACTCTTGACGTTAATACTAGTTTTGACACGTCAGAGAAGTTTTTAGATAATAATACAACTTCAGCACAAACTTTTGAATGACAAAAACCCTCCTTCCATGAATATTTTCCTTTTAAAGAATTTTCTGGAATGTCGCTGCAGCAGAAAGTTTCTTTCATTATTAATTTACTTTTCGATAAATATGATTTATTCTCAGAAGCGAATTTGGCCAAACATCCAAACGACCAACCGCAACGCTTAATCAAAATTTCCTTTCGTAACCAAGAAGAATGAGATTATGTGTGTTCAGTTCCCTTATCTAACTTAGAAAACCGCATGTTTTTATCCCTTAATGTGGTATGAGTACAACCTTTTGTTCTGGCTAAGTCGATAAAGGTCACTGAAATTCCTCTAGATTTTACGGAGTACCGCATCAAAACTAAATTTGCTAAATTTAGTAAGATTGTCTATTTCACTATGAAGACAAAGAATATGTGACAACAGGCCACTATTATCTTCAGAGTACATATGTGTGACCAATCACGTGCCAATATTCTTGCCTGCTCTAAATTTTCTGCTAAACTTGCTGACCTTCCTAGATTTATGACAGGCAAACAACTTGAGGAAATAGGAAAGATGGTAAATGCCACTGCATATGTAATTCCTAAAGTTAGATCGAATTACCAGAACCTTTAACACATCTTCTTCTACTTCGTTTCAGCTGACGACTTCGAAGCGGCAATTTCTAATGATCATCTTATCATTGATGGCAAGTACGTGTCTTGGATTGAGTCAAAGTCCAAGCTTTGTGCCATCTGTTCATTCCCTAATCATAAGGACAATGATTATCCACATAGAAGAAAAACTCCATCTGATCGAAATATGCAAAATCTTTATCAAAGATTTCAACCAGCCCAATACTCTAATTATAAGGCTTCACCTAAAAAGATGAAAGGTGCAGTTAATCCTGACATTACTTTTGCTCATGTCACAAAAAATCTTTCTAATCCAAATAACATTCAGCAATCCACATCACCTCGAACTAATAACAATAATAACTCCCGCAACAACCAACGTCCAAATCCTGCAAATAAACGAAATCCCAATCTGATTCATAGTCTGATTATATTCCTCCAAACATGAATGAAGAAATCCTTTTTGACAATACTA